AAATATTATAATGGATAGTTATAATGGAAAAGCATATTTTTACTTTCATGAAGAAAATGACTCGGTAAGTTCTTTTCTCTATTTTCTGTTTTTTTTTTTTTTTTTTTGAAATGAGTCTCGTTCTGTTGCTCAAGCTGGAATGCAGTGGCGAAATCTCAGCTCACTGCAATCTCCACCTCCTGGGTTCAAGCGATGTCCTCCCTCAACCTCCCAAGTAGCTGAGATTACAGGCCCACACCACCATGCCAGGCTAATTTTTGTATTTTGTAGGGACGGGGATTCACCATGTTGGCCAGGCTGGTCTCAAACTCCTGACCTCAAATATCTGCCCATCTAGGCCTCCCAAAGTGGTGGGATTACAGGCGTGAGCCACTGTGCCCGGCCTTTCTCCATTTTCAACTTAAATCCACCTGTCTTGCGTTCTTTTTTTTTTTTTTTTTTTTTTTTTTTTGTGAGATGGGAATCTCGCTCTGTTGCACAGGCTGGAGTGCAGTGGTGCAATCTCAGCTCACTGCAACCCCCACCTTCTGGGTTCAAGCAATTCTCCTGCCTCAGCCTCCCAAGTAGGTGGGATCACAAGTGTGCACCATCATACCTGGCTAAGTTTTGTATTTTAGTAGAGACAGGATTTCACCATGTTGGCCATGCTGGTCTTGAACTCCTGACTACAGGTGATCCACCCACCTTGGCCTCCCAAAGTACTGGGATTACAGGCATGAGCCAACACACCTGGCCAGGATCAAGATATTATTTATGGCAGAACTAAAAGAATGCTTTCTGATTTTATTTGCCTATTAATATATGCATTTGATAATGAAGAATGTGATAAGCAGTCAAAGCAACTTTCTCGTGTCTAACCCATATGAGCTAAATGAGAGGGAAGACACTTACTGCACATTAGAAAATGGTAACCAGTTTTAAAAGGCTCTGTTTAATCTCAAACCGCAATATTCAAAATAGTGCTTTCACTGGTTCAATTAAAACCCCAGAAAACAATCCAAGACTTCGGAACAAACTATAAATTCTGCTTGAGTTGTACTGTATATAAAATTCACGTTCAAAAGTTTGCCAATTCACATTTACAAAGTCTTGACCAACTGGCAGGGTTGATCATAAAAACCGTATCTTTTAATTTACAATTTTTAATGTATGCTTGGTATATGTTACTTAAAAAGCAATGTAATTGCATGCAAATCTTTTTAAATCTGATTTTGAAATATGACTGAATACGTTAACAGAATTCAGAACAAGTTGATAAACATCTACAAAAACATGTTATATAATTCTAGTGGGCCCCATAATATTCTGTTTTCAAAGAGAAGAAACCATTGAACAGAAAAATTTTAAATCTTTTCTTCTCTCTTTTTTTTTAAGAGATGGGGCTCTCTCTGTTGTCTGGAGGCTGGAGAGTGCAGTGGTATGATCATGGCTCACTATAGCCTCAAACTCCTGGACTCAAGTGATCCTCCCACCTCAGCCTCCCTAGTAGTTGGGACTACAGGCATGCAACACCATGCCTGGCTAATTTTTTTTTTTTTTTTTTTTTTTTGAGACTGAGTCTCACACTCTATCACCCAGGCTGGAGTGCAGTGGTGCAATCTCAGCTCACTGCAACCTCCGCCTCTGGAGTTCAAGCTATTCTCGTGCCTCAGCCTCCTGGGGTTGCAGACAACTGCCACTATGCCCAGCTAATTTTTGTACTTTTTAGTAGAGATAGGGTTTCACCATGTGGGCCTCAAACTGGTCAGGCTGGTCTCGAGCTCCTGACCTCAAGTGACCCACCTGCCTCAGCCTCCCAAAGTACTGTGATTACAGGCATGAGCCACCGTACCCGGTCTCACCTGGCTAATTTAAAAAAAAAAAATTTCAGGACAAGGTCTCACTATGTTGCCCAGGCTGGTCTCGAACTCCTGGCCTCAAATGATCCTCCCACCTCAGCCTCCCAAAGCACTGAGATTATAGGTATGCCTAAACTGAAATCTTATTTTCATGTGTTCAGTAAAAGCAGAAGTTTAGGGATGACAGTAAAAGGAGTTAAGAAAAAATAAGTTTTCTTACTGTATAGTCCACCAGAGTGAGAGCTCTAACTGATTTACACACAGGGCTATATGACCCCAGTGAAATCAGCAAACTGCAAATCAGACGATGTGGAAGTTGCATTAATCTATTCATCTGTTTGGTCAATCTATTTCCTTGTTTTACCCAAAACTGACTCTAAGGGCTGCTATGGTTTCTTCTTTTTTTTTTTTTTATAGAAACCACGTCTTATTCCATTGCCCAAGCTGGAGTACAACGGCATGATCTCAGCTCACTGCAACCTCCCCCTCCTAAGTTCAAGGGATTCTCCTGCTTCAGCCTTCCAAGTAGCTCGGATTACAGGTACATGCTACCACATCTGGCTGATTTTTTTTATTTTTAGTAGAGATGGGGTTTCTCCATGTTGGCAAGGCTAGTCTCGAACTCCTGACTTCAAGTGATCCACCTACTTTGACCTCCCAAAGTGCTGGGATTACAGGGATGAACCACTGCACCCAGCAAGGGCTGCTATGATTTCTAACTCCTTTAGAAGCTGAGGCACTCTATACTCTCTCAGTACTGTACAATCTGGGCATCCAGAAACCCTTGGCCAAGAATCACCAAGGGTAGCCAAGTTTACAATCAGGTAAGAGTCTACCTCTCAACCGAATAGAACTCAGGACCATTATTGTGAACATGTTCCTATGCTGAGTTGCCAAGATGTTCCCTCTAGCATGGAATTGTTTGTCCCTGTACTATATAGCTCCAGACTTGGAGGGCTTAAATTCTTGCTGTGTCAATGGGCTCTTGGCTCAGAACCAGAGACCTTAAGAAGATGAGGGGTCTGTCCACACTCACCCAGTACATCAGTGGCAGATATGGGCTGGCGTCCCAGCCACTTGAATTCTAATTCAGGTCTTTATCTACTGTCTTCATGTCCCTTTTGCCTGTCCTGTCACCTTCTAAAATGGCTGCTTCACCAGGGAGGACATCCCGGTGTTCTATTGGGTAGGCATCAATGACATGGGCATGTCCACATTCATGGCTTTGAGTAAAATACCAGGAAGCAGAGAATGAAGGGCGATCTGAGGGTTCTCCTTGCTGCCTGCACTTTTCCGGACTTTGGAGGGAGTAATTCTGTGCTGCTCTTTTCCATTCTCACATTTTTTTCTTTCTTTTTCCTTTTTTTTTTTTTTTTTTTTTTTGAGACAGTCTCACTGTCGCTCAGGCTGGAGTGCAGCAGTGCGATCTCAGCTCACTGCAACCTCCACCTCCTAGGTTCACACGATTCTCCTGCCTCAGCCTCCTGAGTAGCTGGGACTACAGGCATGCACACCACGACTGGCTAATTTTTGTATTTTTAGTAGAGACGTGGTTTCACCATGTTGGCCAGGCTGGTCCCAAACTCCTGATCTCAAGTGACCCATTCACCTCGGCCTCCCAAAGTTCTGGTATTACAGGTGTGAGCCACCGTGCCTGACCATCTTCATGTTTTCATTATGGGTTTTATTCTGAATAAGTGGGCTGCCAGACAAAAGAGTCACGATGAGGAGGAACTGATACACCCAGGCTTACTACCGGGTACCTCGGCTTCTAAAGCAGTTAGACACCATCGTGGGACTCACAGCCTTTGTTTACAAGGCACAGCTAGCCCCAAACAGACACCGACAGCCACTACTGGGTTTTCTGCAATGGTCTAAGGTCCCTTGCCTCCCTGAGGGACAGGGACACTCTCCATTTGCTTATATCTGCTTGCTGGGCTATATCCTTGCCTGAGAGAAGGACGTCACAATAGGCAAAATGAAAAGGGAGAGAGTTCTAGAAGGTATCTGTCATTGTTGCATTTCCAACATCTCACTTTTTTGTGGGTGAGACTGTCCTGTTCTTTAGACCATGTGGTTGCAGTGAAGCTGACCCCATACCCTGGTAGAGGGGGGCCATGTGAGCTAGAGGGGTGTCAGCCTGGGACTTTGTTTTTTGTTTGCTTGTTTTTCTGAGATGGAGTCTCACTCCTTCACCCAGGCTGGAGTGCAGTGGCACAATGTTGGTGCACTGCAACCTCCACATCCCGGGTTCAAGCAATTCTTGTGCCTTAGCCTCCTGAGTCACTGGGACTACAGACATGCACCACCACGCCAGGCTAATTTCTGTATTTTTAGTAGAGATGGGGTTTCATCATGATGGTAAGGCTGGTCTCGAACTCCTGAGCTCAAGTGATCTGCCCTCCTTAGCCTCTCAAAGTGCTGAAATTACGGGAGTGAGCCGCTGCGCCCAGTCAGCCTGGGACGTTGGACTACCCAGAATAAGGCACTTGCTTTCTGTTGTGGTTTCTGTCAAAAGGATACAAATGTAGAGCTCCCAGAAGCCACGAGCTAGAGAGAGCCTGAATATGAATGAGGTCAAGCCAGAAGAAGGCCGATCAGAGTGACAGATAGATCAAGTCCTGATAACCAAGCCGAGCTCCTAGATCCAGCTGTACCTGCAATCCAGGTCTGCTCCGGGACTTTACAGTCCCATGAGGCAACACATACTTCAAAAAAAAAAAACAAGGAATCCCATTTTAAGTTGGATTTCTGTCACTTGCAACCAAAAAAGCACCAACAAATAAGGGAGAAATAAAAGTGTAAGAAGAAAGGAAATGAGGAGAGAAGATTATATTTATGGATAGAGTATCTGGAAGCAGTTCAAGTCTGTCCCTGGAAATGCAGAAAGGTGATGTGTGGGAATCTGTTCCATTTTTCATATTAAGCTCAAATCATCAGAACTGTAGCTGTGCCTAATTACTGTGATTAATCTCGCCAAACTATAAACATAAAGTAAGTGTGCACTTTCTGATGTTCAATGATACTGCAACAAACATGAAGCGAAAGAATGGTCCATGACTGAACAAAGATGCCTTTGAAACAAAATATTTTTTTTCCTGCCCAAATGCAGTCATGACTGGCTGAAAGAGAAAAGGTCACAAGCGATGACCCGAGTCTTACCGGGCATGGCGTGGATGAGGTCGCCGCACAGAACGAAGAATTTGGGTTTGGGGTTCAGCTTGTTGATGGCCTGGACAGCTTGCTCAGTTAGACGGATCTCCTGTCCCCATTCGTCACCACCATTGTCACAGTCCCCAGTCGACCAGGCCTTCATCAGCCCAAACTGTGGGTCTGTGCCCAGAATGAAGTAGAATGGGCCTTTCCATTCCCCTTCCTTTTCTTTAAAAAAAAAGAGAGAGGAAGAAGGAGAAGTGTTATAAAATCTGTTATAAAATGCAACCAGGTCACCATGCAAGTGGATATACTATTTTTCTTAAACTAAGTAGGTCATTTTAATAAGCTGCTGTTCACACATACCATTTTCCTGTCATAGTCTAGAGGGCTTTGATTTATACTAATTACGCCTGAGACCTGGTGATACCCAAAGGCAGGACTGTCCACGTGGGCTTCTGCAGCCACACAGTCTAGCCGTTTGTTGACAAGCTAGATGGCCAAAAGGAAGCATGGAGCCACAACAGAACACGGTGCAGAGGATATTCGTGCTCAATAATCGTCTTTAAATTAGAATACAACACCCAAAATTGAATGCTGCCAGAAGTATTATATTTAAATTACTAGGTGAAGTGCTTACAAATCTTTTCTGCGAGGCTTCGTGGCATCACTTCCACCGTTTCGGGGGATGTGACAGAATTTTAATTATAAAACTTGGCGCTCAGAAGCTCTGGCTATCTGGGGGGAGATGTGGTGCCAGAAATGAAATCCTGAAATGAGTAAGTCAATGTGGGAAAAAAAAAAGAGAGAGAGAGAAGAAACAAAAATCGATGCTAACATTTCAAAGGCAGTAGGATGTGGGCAGCCGTGAGGTGTGAGGCTGGGGGTGGGGACTCTTTTATGTTCCTGGAAAGGGATCTAGGCCACCTGAAATCATTCTGCTTGCTCTTCCGATTGGCTCTGCGGGGCCAAAGCTTTGTGGGCCTTGGGTTTCTACTCTTATCTGCCAGAACTGCTGCTGATGCCTGCTTAGGAAGAACTGGAATGGCCATTAATGGGCACAGAAGCGCTGCGGATTTCACTTGTTTAAAAAATTATTTGGCCACAGAATCCTTTCTCTAATCAAAATTGCACATGGCAGACCAATGTTGAAAAAACATGCCAAGCAAAGCCGCTTGCTCTTACGGAATAGCACCTGTAACTTCTGGTGCCAGAGTCAGATGCGGTGCTGGACACAGCACAGTGTGATGACCTCCAATCTGCAGCCCCCCTCATTTATCCTCCGAGAAAAGTGAGGCCTGGAGAGGCGACAGAACTTGCTGAATGGCCCGCTAGCACTTAGTGGCAGGGACAGAGCTACACCGTCGTCCTGAGGCTCTTTTTTTTCTCCTTTTTCATAATGTAATGTATGGCCAGGCATGGTGGCTCATGCCTATAATCCCAGTAGTTTGGGAGGCCAAGGCGGGTGGATCACCTGAGGTCAGGGGTCCGAGATCAGCCTGGACAACATGATGAAACCCTGTCTCTACCAAAAATACACAAATTAGTTAGGCGTGATGGTGAGCACCTGCAATCCCAGCTACTTGAGAGGCTGAGGCATGAGAATCGCTGGAACCTAGGAGGTGGAGGTTGCAGTCAGCTGAGACTGCGTCACCCCACTCTAGCCTGGGCTACATAATGAGACTCTAATCAATAATGATAATTACAATTATTTAATGTACAATCCATGTTAACTGAATAAATGGCATTTTCTTTGGAAGTCATGATGATACTGTAATGTCCAAAAAGCTCTCTGAAATCACTTCACGTCCATGTGTTTGATTCATTTGTCTATTGGGTAAGTATCATACGGGGAGTCTTTCGTTTGCCAGGCCGTATGAGAGGTGCTGGCAATATGAAGGTGACTATGACAGATGAGTCCCTGCACTCAGTGCTCTTGGGCGGAGAAAACCTAGTAAACAAGCAGGGAATAGAATCAGAGACTGTTAATGACTATGCAGATTAAGAGTGAGCCAATGGCTAGTTTAAATTAGACCGACAGGGCCAGGTGTGGTGGCTCATGCCCGTAATCCCAGCACTTTGGGAGGCCGCAGCGGGCAGATCACTTGAGGTCAGGAGTTTGAGACCAGCCTGGCCAACATGGTGAAACCTGTCTCTACTAAAAATACAAAAATTTGCCAGACATAGTGGTGCACGCCTGTAGTCCCGGCTACTTGGGAGGCTGAGGTGAGAGGAATGCTTTAACCCAGGAGGCGGAGATTGCAGTGAGCTGATACCATGCCACTGTACTCCAGCCTGGGTGACAGAGAGATTGCACATCAAAACTAAATAGAAATAAACAAATAAGACAGGAAAGGCCTCTCTGAAGTGGTGACATTTAAGCTGAGATCTAAATGGCAAGGAAGGGCCAGTGAAAACCTTTTTAAATTCTATGGCCACTTTCCACCCATTATACTGCGCTTACTATCACCTTAGAGTGGACTCTGGCTTCAAGACTCCTTTCCCTTTTTAACTCCTTTTTCAGGGTTAAAGAAAAAAAAAAAAAAAAAACTGGCCGGGTACAGTGGCTCATACCTGTAATTCCAGAATTTTGAGAGGGTAAAGCGGTGGATCACCTGAGATCAGGAGTTTGAGGCCAGCCTGGCCAACATGGTAAAACCCCATCTCTACTAAAAAATACAAAAACTATCTGGGCATAGTGGTGGGTGCCTGTAATCACAGCTACTCAGGAGGCGGAGGCAGGCAAATTGCTTGAACCCAGGAGGTAGAGGTTGTAGTTAGTGGAGATAGAACCACTGCACTCCAGCCAGCAAGACTCAGTCTCAATAACTACAAAAAAAGAAGTGAATAAACAAAAATACCTCTCCATGCTTTAGAGAAAAAATTGTAAATACACATAAACCCACCATTTCTCGACTTACAGCACAGTGTTCAATCACATCACAACCAGCTGGAACTCAATCTGAACAAGGGCTGCATGAAACCCTGGTGTGTGCATCTCATGAGAAAGACAGCAATATGGCACATCCAGCAGGGACCAAGGGAGTCAACTGTCATTCACTGAGCACTGATTGTGTGTGGCAGAAAGACTCTAAGATCCTCCCCAAATCCCTGCCTCCTGATATTCACATCCCTTTGCAACACACTCCCTTTGAGTGTGGGCTGCAACCTACTTCTAATAAATGGAATACAGTGATGGGAGTCCCTTCCGAGTGGGCTAAAAGAAGACCATGACTTTTATCTCTTTCTCTCTCTCTCTTTCTCTGAGTCCTTGCTCTGGAGATTAAAAGGGGCCATCCTGTAATTATCCCTAGAGAAGCCAGTGTGCTAAGGAAAGGAACCCTCTGGCCAACAGCCCTTGAGGAACCAATCCTGCCAACAACCACCTGAGTCAGCTTAGAAGAGGATACACCTCTGTCGAGCTTTCAGATGAGACCACAGCCCCAACAGATACCTTGATTGAAGCCTTATGAGACTCCGTGGCAGAAGAACCCAGCTCAGCTGTCCCCAGATTTCTGACAAAATCCTGTCACATGATACATATTTGCTTTATAAGCCATAAAGTTTCAGGGTAATTTGTTACACGGTAATAGATCCCTATGAATGGGGCATTAGGGATAAGTGGTCAAGAAGTAGACAAGATTTCCTAAAGATCTGAACATTGTGTCATGAAAGAAAACAGATTCTGCTTTGTGTCTTAACATTATTAATCATTTATTTTGCTTGAATAACATTTTTACACCAATGAACGCTTCTAGCTGTGTCTGTATTTCTGAGCTGTACGCAGAGCCATTTAAGCTGGATGAATTAATCAGAACCAGATAAGGGAGGTGATCACAGGCACCCCAAGGTAGCAGCATACATCAGTCTTCTATAACAGAGTTTATAAACAGCTCCCTACAGCAAACATTTTAACAAATCGTTTCCTATGACAAATAGTCAGAATTTCAAAAAGTCAATAGTCCTTGGAGCTATTAAAATAAATCTTTCATTATTACTTGTTTACTTACTAAAAACTTTAGAATCTCAATTTTATGATGACGAGGTACAAAATAAATAGATTTGACCTAAAATAAATGGCAACTCACATATCAGTATTCAATCTACCTTACCTATCTAATGAGGTATTTTGTTTACTCAGGAACCTTCATTCTCAAAAGGAACTGGATGATCTTAAGGTTCCTGCTACAGAAGCTGGTGGTCTTTGGTCTCATCATAATTTCCTTTCATCAAGGCTGAATTAAAGATATTTGGAGCTTACAATGCATAGTTCTAGAAGGAGAAAACTTTTGTAAATGTATACCTCTCCATTCCTTAAAAAGGCAACTTTTTACATTATGAAAATGAATTTTTTTTTTTATTTATTTTTACAGATGGGGTCTTGTTTTGTTACCCAAGCTAGAGTATAGTGCCACAATCATGGCTCCCTGCAGCCTTGACCTCCCATATTCAAGTGATCCTCCTGCCTCAGCCTTCCAAAGTTCTGGGATTATAGGCATGAGCCACCATACCCAGACAAAAGTTTTTTTTTTTTTTTTTTTTTTTTTTTTTTAGACAAAGTTTCCCTCTGTCACCCAGGTTGGAGTGTAATGCTGCAATCTCTGCTAACTGCAACCTCTGCTTCCCAGGCTTAAGTAATTCTTGTGCCTCAGCCTCCTGAGTAGCTGAGATTACAGGCATGCGCCACCACACCTGGCTAAGTTTTGTATTTTTAGTAGAGACGGGGTTTCACCATGTTGGCCAGGCTGGTCTAGAACTTCTGACCTTAACTGATCTGCCCACCTCGGCTTAAGCCTCCCAAAGTGCTGGGATTACAGGCATGAACCACCTCACTCCGATGAAAAGGAATTCTTAACAATACTTGCATTAAAATTATTTCACTAAAGCCCAGAGTTACCCCCAGGACAGTGCGTAAGTATTAGTTGAATGACATCTACTAGGGCCAGGGAAAGTTTGTAACACCATCCTTTCTAGGAAAAAGCACATGTCTGTCCCAGGCACAGTCCAGCTTCTCTGGAAACCCTCTGGAAGCACTCTTTCAGCAGCCTGAGCCATGAAAGTTGGTATAAACTGAGTTTCACTCCTAAAGCACTCTGACAGTATTTGCCATTACTGGAAAAAAAAAAAAAAAAAGACACTCGGATCCAGCTTTTCCCCCTACCTTTCCTGGCAAAAAAGCTTCAACATGAGACTGCCCAGTCAAATGGTAGCTGCCTAACAATGCTAAT